AAAAAAAGTACAAAATGATGTAAAAATAAATTGTTGTAAAATAAAAAAAAAAGAATAATAACTACAATGGATTAAAATTCATAAATGTATAAATCCATGAGTTCACAATGATACTCATTTTATTTGTTTGTTTACTGAGGTAACGTTGGTTTACACTGTTGTTTGTGTTTTGGAAGTATAGGATTCCCCCATTCTGGGTGCTGCTAAAATAGTGCTACCACCACCAAAGCAGCCATAGTCCATTATGCTCCCTTCCCCACTTTGTACTCACTCCTCTCCCTACTCCTCTGAATGTCTCAGTTCTATAGTATGCCTTTAAAGGCTAGTTTTCAGGTTTGGTTTTTATATGATCCTTTGTCTGATTTTCTATATTCCATAAATAAGTGACACCATCCAGTATTTATCTTTCTCCTTCTGACTTATTTCTCTTAACATAATCTTTTCTAGCTCCATCCATAGTGCTGCAAATGGCATTGAGTTTGTCTTTTTTGAGCACCAAGTAGTATTCCATTGTGTTTATATAACGTATTTTCCTTTCATTTGTTTTTGGGCACTTAGGTTATTTTCAGAGTTTGGCTATTGTAAACAATGCTGCAATGAACATGAGTCTCCATGTTTCCTTCTCTATTAGCATATTTGTGTTCTTCAGGTAGATACTTGGAAGTGAAATTCCTGGGTCATATGGTAGATTTTTAATAAACTGATACTTTTTAAAAACAACTTAGTCATCATTTAAGGATGTTATGGAACAAACTCATTCTGAAAACTCTAAATAAACAAATAATCAAGTATTTATTCTGTCTTTTCATACAACATATACATCAGTAGCCAAATAGTTGAGGAGAGAAAAAAAAATTCTATTTCAGTTAGTAAACAAAAAGGAATACATAATTGGAATGTACAATCCCCTATACAACGATGCATATAGGGACAATAATAATCAAGGACATTAACACAAAAAAGGTATGGGGCTATTAGTGCCTCCATGTGAAAGTACGCCATGCCTTATATGAATTATTCTTGACAAGACTGAACCTGAATCAGATTAAGCTTCTAGATCTATCAATTTACAGGAAAAACAGGGGGCAAATGCCTATATTAAATGTTACCATGAGGATGCAGGTATCAGAATCCAGAATTTAATAAACTACAGGGCAATTAGCCTGGTTTCTTCAACATATAAAATTGTTCAACAGACTTTTTGTAAAGGAGAGGAAAATAATATAGATTAAAAGAGACACAGTAACAAAATATGAGACTAGACTTTTTTAAATGAGAAGTCTGATAGTTTATAAGTTGGTGTTTCTTTTTTTATTTTAAGATTTATTTATTTACGCATACAGAACTGGGGTACAGGCCAGAGGTGCAGGGGTGGTGAGAGGATTCACCAGAGACAGAGTGGGGAACAGAACAGGCAGATCAATGAAGCACACTGCTGAGGGGAGCAGCAGGCGGGTCAGGAGAGGTCTGCCAGGCCATGTGGATCACCTCCAGGGCAGGGATCCAACTCATACTGAAGGGTCTACGGTTTGCTTGCAGTGCTGAGCTTTTACCTGCACCACCAGGGAGGGCCGAGACTAGACTTTCTTTAATCGTGATAAGAAGCCACGGTAATCTTGGTAAGAAACCAAACAGGGTAGAGGGTGAGACAGCAAAAAGGGCAGGGAAAAGAAAGAAAGGAGAGACAGAAGAAGGGACAGAGAATAGGAGCACGCTCAGAAGCACAGGAGGGTGGGGAAAATTGAGTCTGGTGATTTTAGAAAATCTTCATTAAATGTTATCAGGTGTGGTTTATTTTATTTAAAAAAAAGATGTCTTCCCTTTTAGAGACACATAATGAAATATTCACAGGCAAAAATTATGTAGTTTAGATTTCTTTCAAAATAAACCATGGACAAGAGATAGAGAAGAAATAAGAATATTTCACTCCAGCCGAGTGATGGGTAAAAGGGAATCAGTGCACTATCCTACCAGTTTTGTGTGTACATTGTGCTTTTCAATAGATACTGTTTTAAAAACTGGGAAAAAATATTTTCCATTAAAAATCATACTTGTTATAGGGAGCAAGACAGAAGGTAGAGAGGGGGTGAAGCAAATAGCTACTACATTTTATTACTTTCATAATTTTTCTGAGCTATTTGATTTTATATAAACATATATACATTTGGGGAGTATTGAGCGCTTTGAATGTTTTTTGTAGAAATGAAAGGTGAGGACTTCTAATTCCAGCCATTCTCCCTGTGAAGAAAAAGAAGCCCTCGTACATACACTGTTATTGGGGATGCACGCTGGTCCAGACCCTGTGAAAAATAGTATGGAGGTTCCTCAAAATATTTTAAAAAACAGACCTACCATATGATCTAATTGTACTCTTAGGTAATTTTACACTTATTCAAAGAATGTTAAAAAACACTAATTTGAAGGGGTATTTGTACTTGTTTCATTGCAGTACTAATTACAATAGCCAAGTTGTGGAAACAAAAAAAAATGCCCAAGGATAGAACAGTAGGTTAAGGTATATCATATCTTATAAAGAGATATATAGATATAGATATAGTTATAGATATATTGATATAGATATAATCACCCCCATTAAAAACAACTATAAAAATAGCAAATTAGTTACATATTCAAATGATGGAACACTACTCAATAATAAAAAAAAATATGCCATTTGTGACAACCTGGACAGAACTGCAAGGGATCACACTAAGTGAAATAAATCATAAGGAGAAAGATAAAAAAACAATAGCTTCACTCATATCTGGAATATAGAGAAAGGAACTGGCAAGACTAAACCAAAACAAATCCTAGAAATATGATTGCAGACTTGAGCCCACTAGAAGTGGAGGGAAGGTTGGAGGTGGGAACAAATTGGGAAAGGGGTCCAATAGTCTGAAATGAAGGACTGTGGGCATTTTGGTGGAGTGGGGGTTATATAGTAACATATATCTGGGGAGGTGTGAACCTAGTCCCCTAAATCACATAGTGTTGTAAACCAATGTCACCTCAATTGAAAAAGCCTGACCCTCCCATTTCACACAACTATAAAAGCTAGCAAAGTATAAAAAGCTAGCAAAGTTTGAAGGCACTGGAGGGGCTGAAATCTGTGAAAGTAAGAGAAACACACAAGGTAAATACTGCATTCAATTCAGCTTTATTATGTTACATATGATATTGGATTAAGAAGACTGTCAATAGCATTTACATGGACTATACTATAGATTTACTTATATATTTTAGTTTACAAAAGACTTGGCACAAAAGCTCTCATTTTGAACCTACAACACCCTAAGGTGACATTATTATTCTCACTTTACAAATGAGAAAACTAAGTAATCTTCCAAAGTCACACCCAGTTAAGTCAGTCACAGAGGAATTTAAAACTCAATTTTCTGACTTCAAATTCTGTACCTTTTTTCTTATTTGCTAAATGATTCATAGTTTTCATTAATTACTCAGAAAAATTCTTTTAAGACTAAATAATACCATTCCCTTTCTCTCGATAAGAAACTTATTCTAACAAAGTCAGTGATTAAAAACAAAAAAAATCGTAAGTCCTGAATTATTAATTCAACATTTACTTCAATGAATCACTATAATAACCGTGTGTGTATATATATATATATATATATTACTGCTGAGACCATTAATTATAATAGATATAACTATCATAAAAGGAGTAAGGATAGCACTAAAGAATGTAAACTGTTCCAGTCTGCAGTATCTTCAACCATCTTCATTACTTCATAGGAGTAATGACTACCTCATTGCATCTGTACTTCCTCATTTAATTAAGACATACCAAAATCTGTCTTCGGATACCTTCTTCTGAAGCTGCTGAGCCTTCACACATACTCACCAACTTGCAAGCAATATGATGTACTGAAAAACAGTAAATAGAGATCCATAAATACAAAACATTCATTTTCCTTTTACATACACCTATAAAAGAAAAGGAATGAAGTAAAACTAGTTTTGTCGCTAAAAACAAGAATTTTAAAGACAGGGCCTCCCTGGTGGCACAGGGGTTAAAGTCAGCACTATCAAGCTATCACCAGTCACTGCAGCCTGAGTTTGATCCCAGGCCACAGAGATGACCCACATGGCACAGCAGACAGAGGAAACTCTCCTGTCTCTCCCGTTGCTCCCCTCAGCAGTATATCTCAGTATATCTACCTGCTTTGCTCTGCCTTCTGTCTCTAATGAATCCTCACCACCATGCCCTCCCCACAACTCTAATCTGTATCCCAGGTCCTATATGCATAAATAAAAATAAATCTTTAGGGCCCTCCCTGGTGGTGCAGCTGGTTAAACCACAGCACTAAGAAGCTAAAGCCACTTCAGCATGAGTTCAATCCCCGCCCGCCCCAGAGGCAGCAGACCTCTCCTGACCTGCCCACTGCTCCCCTCAGCAGTGTACTATGTCAGTCAGCCTGTTCTGCTCCCACTGTCTCTGGTGAATCCTCTCACTGCCCTGTACCTCTGGCCTGTAACTCCAGTTCTGTATGCATAAATAAATGAATCTTTAAAAATAAATAAATAAATCTTTTAAAATATTTTAAAGGTATATCCAAAAATCAATTATCAAAAGTAAATGACCTGAAAATTATCAAATAAATCATTTACTTGATAACTCCAGTCAAATATTTGATTTTCAAATTTTGATTTTTGCAGGTCTTAAATCCCAAAGACTCACTGAAGATACATGATGCTCTTAAATGTACCATGTTGACAGGAAAATAATTCTAAGTAGAACTAGAATCTAGCTATTCAACATCTGATAAAATGTTTGAACATTAGGGTAGTTTTATATTATTTTCCCAATGTATGAAACTGTCTAAATATATTATTTTTGTAGATGATATAAATACTATTGAAGTATAATTCAGAAAATACAGAAAACATGACCAATTTTTTTTTAAAGATAACATCACATGTAAATGAACAGTTGCCTTGATGTTAGATTTCAGTAGTCATTCTCCGTAAGCTAATGCCATTGAAAGATTTTTTTCAACTGAAATTACAGGATCAGATTTTTAAAGCTGGTCATGAATTGTAAAATCTATTCATCTCATAACAAAGTTAATTTGTATCTCAAAAAACCTTCTGGTAAAATAATCTACTAATGCCACTGTGCTTCAAGTTTCCATCCTTTTCCTCATGTTTCTTTACCAGATTTCTTGAATTGAATGATCTATTAGCTCTATTTCATTCACCCCCTTTAATCCCTGCAATGTTTTACATACTGACTATTTTACTAAAACTTCACTTCTAAAAATTACTTTCTACTATTCCACAATAACATTTCACAATTGTCGTAACCTTCATGAAAAATGCTACTTCCATAACCTTACACTACCCTTGTTCAAGATTAAGCAATGTCTATGAGAAATGTCTCTATGAAAGAACCTTGCTCCCATCGCCACATTCTGGATCCAGCTGTTTACAGTTATCAGCAATAAGCCTTCAGGCCAAAAACAGCCAAAGCTGAGACAGAATGCTATATGTTGCTATATACTTCACTATAAAGACATTTTCCTTCTTGCTGTTACTCTACTTTGTTCTTCTCTGCCAGTCTGTTCCTGGCCCCTCTATATTATAAATGTTTTGGTTAGGTGCTTGCTGACCAACTCTTTACATCAGCTTTACTCCATTCCATCAGTTCCACATCTTGATATCTGAACTGACTTTAGACAATGCATAGTGCTGTATCGCTGGCATTTGTGAATTGTCTATTTTTATTATTTAGCTTTAACCCATTCCTTTCCACATTCTCAGGCATAATGTGTGTATTTTTGTTCTGGAGTCATACCTTTTCCCTTCCATCTACTGTCCACCATAACATGATATGATAATATCATGAGAAGTAAGGAGTATGTATTCAATGAATGGATAATGAGTCTCCTCTAGAATAGTTTGCCTTGTCTTTTTGGTCTCCTTTTTCTTCCGAGTCTTAATTAAATGATTCAAGGTTAAATTTGCATTACTCTGGTCTCCTAGCACCACTGGTTCTTAAAATTTGGTGTGCACAATAATTCCTGAGAATTTTTTTTTCAAATTATAAATATGCCCAAGTTTCATTCTAAACCTAACAAATCAAAACTTCCAATAGTGGGGTCTAGGCACCTGTAGTTTAAAAAAATCCAGAGGTGATTCTCATTAACATCACTATTTAAGAACCATTTGCTGTTTATTTTCTCCTCAACAATTCTAATGGCTTCAGCTCTTTCTTATAAGCTCCAGTCTCACATCTCCAATTTTACTGTCACCTCAAATGTAACAAGTCCAAAACTAAAATTTACAAATCACTCCTCTACTTCTGGCTTTCCTATTTCTGTTTATTGTTCCATGATTCTTTACAATATCTAAAAAAAAAAATGTAGCTTTTAAATCTTGAAGACTTTCTCATCACATATCATCTGATACACTAAATTTGTTTTTATGAAAACAAAATGACTTCCTATCAACATATTTTTGCAATAAAATGCTTTTAAATCACAGGCTTCCTGTACTACACCCCATTTTCCAAGTACCATATGCATAATAAGCACCTAAATATCTGATTAAGAACAACTATAGGCATAGAGTCAGTGTATTGGGAGAGGTCCTGGAGCTGCAGCTCTTAGTTCATCAAACCAATCACTGCTATCAGACAAGCAGTGAAAAACAGGCAGAGCAATGTTCCTCTATATGCAGGAATTTAAAATAAATGCATTTTAATATCCCAAAGTTCATTTGTATACTAAGTCCCACAGATAAATTTCTTTTTTTTTAAGATTAATTTTTATTTATTTTTTTAAAGATTTATTTATTTGTACATACAGAACTGGGGTACAGGCCAGAGGCTCAGGGGCAGCGAGAGGCTTCACCAGAGACAGAGTGGGGAGCAAAACAGGCAGATCAATGAAGTACACTGCTGAGGGGAGCAGCAGGCGGGTCAGGAGAGGTCTGCCACGCCATGTGGTCACCTCCGAGGCAGGTGGGAATCGAACTCATGCGGAGGTGGCTTTTAGCTTCTTAGTGCTGTGCTTTAACCTGCTGCGCCATCAGGGAGGGCCAAATTTTTATTTATTTATGCATACAAGAACTGGGGTATAAGCCAGAGGTGCAAGGAATGAGAGAATTCACCAGAGACAGAGTAGGGAGCAGAACAGGCAGATCTATTGAAATACACTATTGAGGGGAGCAGCAGGAGAGACAGGAGAGGTCTGCTGCACCATGTGGGTCAGCTCCCTTGCTGGAGTTCAAATGAATTCATGCTGCAGTGGCTGGCAAGAGCTTGATAGCACTGAGACTTTAACCCCTGTGCCACCAAGGAGGCCTCCCCACAGATAAATTTCTAAATCTTTCCTTCCAATAGCAACAGGAACAAAGGCTGCTAAGAGCAATGACATCAACATTTATCTGAGAGTTAGAGAATTGTTCTCTAACTCTCCTAAGAGAGTAGTGGATTAAGTAAATTATTGACTAAAATAATCAATTGTTACCCAATACCTACACTGAAATTATATGCAGTTTGTCTTATATTCATAAAGATAATAACAACAAATTCTATTTGGTGTACAAAGACAAAAGTGAACTGTCTAAAGCCAAGCAGGCCAAAGATTCACCATTAGGTTTGTTGCTTCAGTGTAGCCTTTATAATGGAGCAATAAGCTGCCCATAAACACATTTGCTGTCAGTAAGCTTGTTGTAAATAAATAACTGTTAGCACACTAGGTATTAACCATTTTGATAAAACACTAGAATTTTTTCAGAATGGCCCACATTTAATGCATCCAAACAGATGAGCTTGGTTTGGGGTTTTGTTTTGTTGTTTGGTTTCACTCACAAGTAGAAAAACCTCTGTGATTTTTCACAGCAGTCCAATGTTCATCAACCTACCTCATGAGAACTATTCTTTACAAGTTTTAAATCAAAATCCCTCTCACTGACAACATTTTCCATCCTATTTTTTAATGGAGACAAGAAACTACTATTTGATGTTACTTCCTCCAGAGTCCTGAAAATTCTGATCATTTTTCTCCAGGGAAAATAATCGATGTCCTTTAACATTTCCTCAAGTTCTCATTCTCCAACATTTTAATCATCTTTGTTATTCACCTTCAGACTATTTCTGAAGTGACATTTAAAATATTTATTAATGAGGGCCCTCCCTGGTGGCACAGCAGGTTAAAGCACAGCACTAAGAAATTAAAGCCACTCCAGCATGAGTACAACCCCTGCCCGCCCTGAAGTGATCCACATGGCGCAGTGGACCTCTCCTGACCTGCCCGCTGCTCCCTTCAGCAGTGTACTTCGTCAGTTGGCCTGTTCTGCTCCCCACTCTGTGTCTGGTGAATCCTCTCACCGCCCCTGCACCTCGGACCTGTACCCCAGTTCCATATGAATAAATAAAACTTTAAAAAATGTTTATTAATGAGGAGTTAACCTCTAAAAAATTCTTAAAATGGAAGCAGGCTGTTTGCTTGAAGAACCAATGCTTCTGGATCATTCTGTTCAGTTTTCCTTTAATTAATTTCCATCTAAAAGTTAGTCAAAATATTACTTAAACTGCAGGAACAAAATAGTATAATACAAATATTCCTCATAATATGTCACAGAATACATACGTACATTTAGCTTTCTGTTCTTCACTTATAATCAAACTCACTCTCTTGGTAACTGCCCAGTTCCAGAGGTTTACTGCCATTTCTTCAACCTAAACAAGAGAAACTTTATCTCAACAAAACCACTGTCCACCTCCAATGATTCTTGCATATTTCATGTTTATGTGACTATTTAAAATCATTTACAAGTTAGCCATAATCTAGTCCCATTCTACATTTCCTCCCCAAAATTTACCCATAGACAGTAATCATTTCAATGTCTTATTTTCTAATGCAATTAGAATTCTAATACAATTTGTTCATTTCTATCTGGACACCTTTATTCATACTGTTGGATCCACTTATATACCTCCTTGCATTGTCTTTATGTAATCAACTCCAGTTTCGTCTACCCAGGAACATCAAGTGAAGATTTTAGCAACCAAAAGAGTCTACATTCATCTTTCTGTTCTTTGAATTCCCATATGCATTAAATTTCACACAACTGAACAATTATTTATGCTACTTAACCTCATATTTTCTATAATTATTTTTGTTATTAATCTTTTTTAAAAGATTTATTTATTTATGTATACAAGAACTGGGCTACAGGCCAGAGGTGGGTTGGCAGTGAGAGGATTCACCAGAGTAGGGAGCAGAACAGGCAGAATGACTGAAATATACTGCTGAGGGGAGCACCAGGGTGAGGCAGAAGACATCTGCTGCTCCATGTGAATCAGCTCCCTGGCTGGGGATCAAACTCATGCTGCAGTAGCTGTGGATAGCTTCACAGTGCTGTGATTTAACCTTTTGCACCACCAGAGAGTGCCCATTAGTTGTTAATCTTATTCACCAACTACGCTCTTTAATATTAAAGATAAGTCTTATACAACTTACGTGGCAAATTATAGTACCTGTCAACGTGCTAAATAAAAAATACATACTCAATAAGATTTTCTGTTTTACTATATTTTGTTCTAAGAACTAGAGGGCAAAGTTTCTAATAACTTCTGTTGGGTTTTATCTTTTCATCATGTGGAACCTTAGTCAACTGGATGCAAAAGTAAATCAAACTCATAATGTCTCAAGGATAGATAGAAGACACAAAGCATGTATAAATTGGGGTAGGCTGATTTCTGGCAAGAGACAAAAGGTAGTATTTAGTGTTGTGTAGTACTATTGCTTGAGGTTAATATGGCATAGCTCTGGTCTAAATCTCTCAAGGCACTATGGCAATTATGACAGAGCACATATACCATTATCTTATAATAATCATATCAGTAGTAATACAATAAGAGGAATACTAACTGGATAAAAAAAAAGTTTAAGTACAATGATGATACAAAATATATTTTAGTTTTAATCCTTTTCTCCAGTGCCATTTTTCTTATCTATAGTTCTATGTTTGCCTATTGGTTTCTCCTTAAACAGATTATTTATTTAGCATAGCTGTCTTTTCACTAACTATTCTGAAGCTATATCCACCTCTCTTACATAATACCCCCATACTACAGATGACTTAAGGATGACTTTCACATGAACTTTTATTTGTTTCATCGAAAACACAAGAAGTTAATGTTTAACTCCAAATTTTCTGGTAGAATAAATGGTATCGCGGGAGGTAGGAAGAATAAACATCCAGAGCAAAACAGTTTAAAGAAGTTGCTATTTTTGTATTTTTGAAAATAATTTGATAATCGTAAAAAGAGACAAAAAAATTTCCCTATCTTTTGATATTGTGACTGCTTCTTTGAGACTCTATCCTGTGGAAATAATCTAAAATGGGGGTATAAACTTAGGACTTAATACTATTGCTCAAGTCACTATTAAATAATGATGAAAATTATGAGTAATATAAATATTTGATAATAAGGAAAAACATATTTGGAATTATGATATATCCACCAGGTTGAATATTATTCAACCATTTAAAATAGCAGTCATGCATAATCTTTAGTGTGTGGCACTAAAAGCAAGAAAAACAAAAGAGAATATAAACTGTTGAGACTGTATCAACCTAAAAAGCCACTGCACAGCAAAAGAAACTTTCACTGAAACAGACAGATACTACTGAATGGGAGAAAATACATCTGACAAGGGGCTAATATCCAAGATCTACAAGGAACTCATATAGCTCAATAGAAAAAAAAAAAAAAAGCAATCAAAAATGGGTCGAAGAGCAAAACAGGCACTTCTCCACAGAAGACATATGAGAAAATGCTCATCACTTATTATCAGGGAAGTGCAAATCAAAGTCACCATGAGATACTACCTCTGTGAGAATGGCCAAATCAGAAAGACCAGAAACAAGTATTAGTGAAGGTGTGGGAAAAAGGAACCACATATACTGCTGGGAAAATAGACTAGCCTAGTCCCTATGAAAAAAGAGCGTGGTGATTTCTCAAAATATTAAAAATAGATCTACTATGTGACCCAGCAAGTCTACTCCTAGGTATCAACCCAAAGAGTGCAAAAACATTAATGTGAAGGGACATATTTACTCTTATGTTCATGGCAGCACTATTCACAATAGCCAAGTTCTGGAAACAACCTAAGTGCCCAAACACAGATGAGTGGATTAGGAAGATATGTATGTGTGTGTGAATACTAGTCAGCTATAAAACAAGATAAACTCTTGCATTTTACATCAATATGGATGGAAAAGAACTGGAGGGATTGTGTTAAGTGAAATATGTCAGAAGGAGAAAGACAATACCTAGTGGTGTCACTTACGTGAATGAATATACAGAAACAAAACAAAGAATCAGATAAAACCAAACCAAAAACAAGTCCTAGAAATCTGACTGTAGAACTGAGACTACCAGAAAGGAAAAGCAAGAACACATGTATCTTGCAATAATAGCTATGTAAAACCACAATGCAGCATGCATTAGGTCCCCAGCTAGGGAGGTAACCCACATAACACAGCAGACTTCTCCTATCTAACCCATTGCTCCCCTCAGCTGTGTATTTCATAATTTGCCTGTTCTGCTCCCCACTCTGTCTCTGGTGAATCCTCTCACATCCCCGCCCCCGCACCTCTGGCCCTCTGGCCTGTACCCCAGTCCTCGTATGCACAAATAAATAAATATTTAAATAATAAAACTTCAAACAGAAATTATTAAAGAAAATATATTAAAATGTGTATAGTAATATTGTAATGATTTGATTATAGGTTACACTTTTCTCCATTTTTCAAATTTTAGGAATTTTACTTATCTTTTAAATGATTTCTTGTACTTTTCATAATGAATTAGAAAGAAAACTATAAAATTGATTATAACTAAATATTTTATAATATAATAATGCATATATAGTCATCAAAATGTATTCAGTATCTAAAAGATGTGGCATGTTTTAAATTAGGTTTATAAAAATGTGTAATAATAAACACAGTAAATACATGCAGTAAAAATAAGTACTATGAATATTGAAGTTTCTAAAAAGAAAACAAATTTGTCATTTCCTAAACCAATCAGACATTCTTGTAAATAACATCAGGCCATTACCCTGAATGTCACAATTGCTTTTCACTAGCAACTAAGCACAGCAAGTTGTATTTTTTTTAAAAGATTTATTTATTTAGGCTTACAGAACTGGGCCATAGGCCAGAGGTATGGTGGGTGTGAGGAGTCACCAGAGACAGAGTAGGACCCAGAACAAGCAGATCTATTGAAATACACTTCTGAGAGGAGCAGTGGGCGAGTGAGGAGAGGTCTGCCACGCCACGTGGGTCAGCTCCCTGGCTAGGGATTGAACTCATGCTGCAGTGACTCTTGAGAGCTTCATCGAATGGTGCTTTAACCTGTTGCAGGGAGAGCTCAGAAATGTAATGTAATTCACATGTTTAAATATGCACTAAAAAGGGCCCTCCCTGGTGGCACAAGGGTTTAAAACATAGCACTGTGAAGCTATCCATAGCCACTGTGGCACAAGTTCAATCCCCGGTGAGGGAAGTGACCCACATGGTGCAACAGACCTCCCCTGTCTCACCCGCTGCTCCCCTCAGCAGTGTATTTCAGTATATCTGCCTGTTCTGCTCCCCGCTCTATCTCTGGTGAATCCTCTCACCCCCACACCTCTGGCCTGTACCCCAGTTCCTGTATGCATAAAAAAATATTTTTTAAAAAATGCACCCAAAAAACTTTAGACCTAATTAACAAGTTCAGCAAAGTCAAGATCAAAACACAAAACCAACTATATAAACTGTAGGTATTTACTGTGTTTATCATTATTAGTTCTATAGACTAGCAATAAATAACCTGAAATTTAAATTATGAAAGCAATTCTATCTATAACATCAAAAGAAACAAAGTAGGAATAGATTGAACAGAAAAGTGCACAATTTACACTCCCAAACTATAAATACTGTTGAAAGAAATCACAAAAAAAAACTTAGTAAAAGATAAATTGTTCATGGATCAGAAGATTTAATATTGTTAAGATGGCAATACTCCCTAAATTGAGCTACCAATTCAATGCAGTTATCAAAATTCCAGCTAGCATCTTTACAACATCTTTTGCTGATTCTAAAATTCACATGGAAATTCAAGGGACCCCAAATAGTCAAAACAATTTTGTAAAACAAGAACAAAGTCGGAGAACTGACATATTCCAATTTCAAAATTTACTACTACAAAGCTATGGTAATCGATACAGTATGGTACTGATAAAGACAGCCATACAGATAAATGGAATAGAATAGCACACTGAGATATAAATCCTCACGTATGTGACCAATTAATTGACTTTTGAGAAGGGTACTAAGACAAATTTAATGGAGAAAAAATATATTCTTAATAATAGTTTAGTTTTACATCATTTTGTGCAATTTTTCATCTCAGTTGTAATCCTTATGGGCTTCCCATCACCAAATCACCCGTGTGCCATCTCCACCCCCATAAAATGTCTCTGGTATGTAGCTCTTCATTATTATTATTATTTTCTCCCCTAGTTTGTTTTACTTCTGCTATGAGTGAAACCATCGGTATTTATCCTTTTCTTTCTGGCTTATTTCACTAAGCATGATCTTTTCCAGCTCCATCCATGTTACTGCAAAATGCATGTTTATTTTGTGTGGTTGCTGAGTAACATTCCATTGTGTATATGTACCACATCTGAAAACAAATGTACTGGAACAACTTGATATCAAATTGATATGCAAAAGAATGAAGCTGGATTCCTTCCTTATACCAAAATACAAAACTAAACTCATAATAGATTATAAGCCTAAATGTAAGAACTACATGTATAAAAGACTTGGAAAAATATATGGCAGCAAATCTTCATGACCTTAGGTTAGGTAAAGTCTTCTTAGCTATGACGCCAAAAACAAAAGCAACAAAATTTGTGACTAGAATAATTCACTTAGCATAATGTTGCTTACCAAAATTCATCAGAATTTGAAACTTTTATGATTCAGAGAGTACCATCATTAAAGTGAAAAGACAACCCACAGAATGGGAGAAAATACTTACAAATCTTGTGTCTAGAATGTATAAATAACTCCTCCCACTCATAGTAAAAAGTCAAATAACTCCATTTAAAAATTAAACTGTTAATGGTGAACTTGGTGTATATACATATATTGATTTTCTAGATATTTTTACCTTTTGGAATTTTTTTTAGACCAAAAAAAAATTTTGAGGTAACACTGATCTACAATACTGTATATGATATAAGGAAATAGATTCACAACTGTTCAGTTGTATGTTACCACACCACATTCACCATTAAAGCACCCATAATCCTTCACCATAAGTATTAGACCACTATAACTTTTTGTTATCCACTTTCACCCTAACCCTCTAGTAACCTCAATACTGCAGTCATATTTCTAGGGATTGTTTTGGCAGTTGCAACAACATAGATGGGATAGGAGCGAAAATATGCTGAGTGAAATTAATCAGAGAAAGACAAATACTGTATGATTTCACTTCTATATGGAATATAGAGAAACAAAACAGACAAAATTAGATTAAAAAATGTTGATTTTCCAATGAAGAACCCCTAAAAATTTATATATTATAATTCAGTGATATTTTAACAACAAAAAAAGGCAAAGGATCTTAATATACATTTCTCCAAAGAAGTTATAAAAATGTCCAATAAGTATATGAAAATATGCTAAACTAGACATCACTAGACATCAGAGAATTGCAAATCAAACTATGATGAACTACTAACTCACATCCATTAGGATGACTATTATAAAAAAAAGAAAAGAAAAGAAAACAAGTATTGGTAAGTATATGGAGCAATTAGAACCCTCATACACTGTTCGTAGGAGTGGAAAATGGTGCAGCCACTATGGAAAAAGTTTGGTGGTTCCTTATAAAAGTAAAAAGTACTGCCCTCCCTGGTGGCACAGCGGGTTAAAGCACAGCACTAAGAAGCTTAAGCCACTTCCGCATGAGTTTGATTCCCACCTGCCCAAGAGGAGATCCACATGGCGAGGCAGACCTCTCCTGAACCACCCGCTGCTCCCCTCAGCAGTGTACTTCGAGGATCTGCCTGATCTGCTCCCCACTCTGTCCCTGGTGAATCCTCTCACCCTCCACATCTCTGGCCTGTACCCCAGTTCTATATGCATAAATAAATAAATCTTTTGAAAAAAAAAAGTAAAAAGTAAATTACCATATAATCTAGCAATTTCACTTTTGGGCATATACCCAAAAGAACTGAGAGCAAGAACTTGACAGATATGTGTACACCCATGTTCATAACTGCATTATTCATGGCAACTAAAAGGCAGAGTAACTTAAGTGTCTGGATGAACAGATAAAACAAGGTAGACACATACTATGGCATATTATTCAACCTAAAAAAGGAAGGAAACTTGGAAATATGCTACAATATAGATGACCCCAACAACATCAAGCTAAGTGAAAAATTCCTATCACAAAAAACCATATCTATAAAAGGTACCAAGAGTAGTCAAATTCACAGAGACAAAAAATAGAATGTTGGTTGGCAGAGGATGGGGAACAGAAAGTTTTGTTAATGGGTATAAAATGTCAGTAATACAAGATGAAAAGACTTCTGGAGATTAGGTACACAACAATTTGAACAGGGTTAACGCTATATTGTTTATTTAAAAATAGTTTAGGTAAATTTTGTGTTATGTATATTTCAGCACAATTAAAATAAAAAAGCACACTGAGATACTACTTCATCCCCACTAAGATGACTATAATCAAAAAGACAGACAACATGTATTAGTGAGGATGTAGAAAACTGGATTTCTTATACACTACTGATGGGAATAGAAAATGGCATAAGCCACAGCAGTATCAAAATGTGAAGAGTTACCTTATGATCCAGCACCTTAACTTACAGGTATATACCTAAAATAAGCAAAAACATACAAACTGCACATGAATGCTCACAGCAGCATTAGTTGCAGCAGCCAAAAGTTGTAAACAACCCAAATATTCCTCCAATGAATGAATGGATAAAGAAAAAAATGGCATATCCAAAGAATGGAATAGTGTTTTGTCATAAAAAGTAATGAAACAGAAATATGTAGTATAACACAGACAAACCTTGAAAATATAATTCTAAGTGTAGATGTCATTCACAGATAACATCCTATAAGATTTCGCTTATATAAAGCATCCAAGATAGGTAAATCCATAGAGACAAAGTAGATTAGAAGTTGACTAGGGCTGGGAGAAGGGAAAGAAATGGACCATATCTGTGAATTGGATGCAAGGTTTCATTTCAAGATAATGAAAATTAATAATGGTGAATGTACAACTCTGTTAAAAATTAAGTCATTGGGTTATCTATTTGAAATGGTTAGGCTATATAGTATATGAATTATATATAAATAAAGCATCTATCTATATATGGCTATATAGAGAGAGATAAATATATGTGGGAGAGATGTTTACAACAATCTATCTTCTCCCCTTTCCACATGTGCATTCACCAAAATGTGAATTTACCCAAGGTAAACATTCCCAAATGGGTTTTAGAACATGAAATCAATTTCCAAATTAAGTGACAGAGCTTCATTTAAACACTAAAAAAATTACTCCCAAGAAAGCACCCCGATTACTTATATTAAAGGGATATCCCCTCTACCAGGTAGTATTTTTGCTGCAGAAGGCAGGAAAAAAAAGAATTTTTAATTAGTGATTACTATGTATCCAAGGCCTTAAATATGTTATTTTACTATTCACAATAATACTTGGAGGGATCTTTTATTATTCTCCTTTAACAGAGGAGAAAATTGATTCCTAAGAGAGGTCAAACAGTAAATGTTAAACTTGAGCACACATTTTTCCATTGGTTTCTAAACTTCTATTTTTCTTTAAAGGTGGCATTGGGCTTAAAAATCCAAAACTAGGCCCTCCCTGGTGGCGCAGTGGGTTAAAGCACAGCACTGAGAATCTAAAGCCGCTTCCACATGAGTTCGATTCCTGCCTGCCCAGGAGGTGACCACATGGCGTGGCAGACCTCTCCTGACCCGCCCACTGCTCCCCTCAGCAGTGTACTTCGTTGATCTGCCTGTTCTGCTCCCCACTCTGTCTCTGGTGAGGCCTCTCACCACCCTTGAGCCTCTGGCCTGTACCCCAGTTCTGTATGCACAAATAAATCTTTAAAAAATAAATCCAAAACTAGATTTCTATATGTTTAGCAATGGTTAACCATGAAGACTGTTTTTTACTTATACATTAATTAAAATGATTAAACATCAAAATGTATCACAAACAAAAATTTTATACCAACCTGAGCATCTTGTATTTCAGCCATAGATTCTCTGATGATATTTGCTATATCCATGAAGAGTATGTCAATTGCTTCAGGTATAATATGTGAATTATCCTTTCCAATCAAGTATTCAACAATTTCTGAATTAACAATGAATGATAAATAAAAGTACTGTGAGCTATCACCATTGGCTAAAAGTAGCAAATAATTTTGAAATGATCTTTAGAATAAAAACAAACTAAAAATTGTTTCTTTTGGCTAAAGGCAGTGTATAATTTTCTAGTAAAATTATATTCCCTAGGAGTCATTTGCTTATAACTTAATTATCATTACCCAGTCTCAAAAAGTAAAACACACTGAGGCCTCCCTGGTATCTTAGGGGCTAAGTCTCAGCACTACCACTTTGATAACTCTCTGGTGGCAAAGCAGCCTGAGTTAGATCCCCCCAGCCAGGTTGCTGAACCACATGATACACTGGCCTCTCATGTTTCACTGGCTACTCCCCTCAGCAGTGTATTTCTTTTCTAAAAAAATATTTTATTTATTTATGCATACAGAACAAGGGTGCAGGCCAGACGTGCAGGGATGGTGAGAGGATTCACCAGAGACAGAGTAAGGAGCAGAAGAGGCAGATCACAAAATACACTGCTGAGGAGAGCAGCGGGAAAGATAGGAGATGTCTGCTGTGCCATGTGGGTCACCTCAGGGGCCAGGGATCTAAGAATTCACACTGAAGTGCCTGAGACTAGCTTGAGGTGCTGCGTCCTAATCCATTGCACCACCAGGGAGGGCCCTGCAGTGCATTTCAATGGATCTGCCTGTTCTGCTCCTCACTCTGTCTTTGGTGAATCCTCTTACCCCCTGTACCTGTGGCCTACACCCCAGTTTTTCTATGCAAAAATAAATAAAATTGAAATATGGCAATAAAGGAATAATTATTAAAAACATAAAATGCATTGACTTCACATGTAGTAATGCTATTATAAGTTATCTTAGATTTATAATAAAGAAAGTAATTAATAATCCATAAGCACCTTTTCCAGAACCAAGTAAAGTCAGAGGGAGGCCCCAGCAAACAAAGGTGAGCAGTGAAATCCCAGACCACACCCTCCAGCCTGCATACAGCTGTGGGAGGGTGGTAACTGCCATCCCCTCTACCACTGCACCCATGCACCCCATCCAGGACAAATAGTAAAGCCAGGATGGCACAGGGAGGGACCAGACCCCACAGGGATCAGCAACCACTTGGGAGAATGTGTTTTGGCGCACATGAAGTATTAAGAGTATTAGTAAACCCTACCACATGCACAGACCATGCCACACATTGTATATTAAGATGCACACATAGTGGAAGAGACCAGCAACTTACAGTAACATGGTGATCTTCAAGAACAGTGCCCATTAACCTATCCACAGCATCACATTCATTGCAAAGTCTGGTGTGATAGCCTTCGACTTGGCCCAGCCAGCAGGCTCCAACATCCCAGTAGCAGCACCCCAAAGAGATGACTGGCTATACCAGTGGCACAGTGGCCCAGCATGCAGACCAAATTAAAAAACAAACAACAGGGAGTAGAAAAATTACAAATAGCCAAGCAAGCCCTATAGGAATGGCACACCACAAAGAGAAAATCAGCCCCCAAATCAACAACAACGACATGGAAGAATTTCTCTCCCTAACAGAGAATTCAGAATCACATGATTAAAAAACATAAAGAAGGGCTCTCCCTGGTGGCACAACATGTTAAAGCACTGCATTATGAAGTTCTCCTAAGCCACTACATTACGAGTTCAATCTCCCACCAAGGAGCTTACCCACATGGCATGGCAGCCCTCTCCTGACCTGCCCGCTGCTCCCCTCAGCAGTGTATTTCAGTGGATCTGCATGTTTTTCTGCCCACTCTGTCTCTGGTGAATCCTCTTACCCACCACACCTCTGGCCTGTACCCCAGTTCGGTAAGCATAAATAAATAAATATTTTTTTAAATTAAAATTAATAAAACATAAAGAAGATGAAACAGGACCTCCTTAGTGGCACAGGGGTTAAAGTCTCAGCCCTATCAAGCTATTGCCAGCCACTGAACCACTGTGGCACGAGATCAATCCCCAGCCAGGGAGCTAACCCACATGGTACAGCAGACCTCTCCTATCTTGCCTGCTGCTCCCCACCTATTCAGCTTATCCACCTGTTCTACTCCCCACTCTGTCTCTAGTGAAACCTCTCACCCCTCATGCACTTCTGGTATACACGCCAGGTCCTCTATGCAAATATATTTTTTTAATCTAAACAGTTTAGTAGAGTATCAATATAACTTCTAATTTCATAACACATAAGACTATGACATTAAGTTTCATATTTGAGTGTTCTGGTTAAATTTTCTATCATTCATTCTTTGTCAAATTGCTTCTGGTCCTTTCAAAACATATTTCAATGTCATGCAGTAGAGAGACCTGATTGACACCAGCTGAGGCAGTAACAGCACTGCAGTTCTTTAGGATAAAATACAGTCAAAAATCTGAGTAAGTAGTAGAGATCACACAGCTGAATGATTGAGTTATACAATGAAGGAGAGACATGCTTCTAAGAGTAGCTTAGAAAAGATCTTCTATAAATGCAGCTTACTCATAAGATGTGAAGACAACATGCTGTATTAAAGCTTTATCAAGCAAGATTGTACACTTTGAAAGAAAGCAATTAAATTATTTTGCTGGCTACTGAAATAAGCTATGATTTGCAACATGATTTCAGTCAATTTAATTTAAATAAGATTTGTCCTAGTTAAAAACACAGGCAACGGGAGTCACTCCATTGAGGTAACTGGATAAATCAGTACCAATTAATTCTGATTAGGTATACAGCATTCTAGGTACAGTATAATATGTGAAGAAAATGTTTTCCCTACCCTTGATAGAGTTTCTGTTACATGGGGGAAAAAATCTATCAACAGTCCTGCCAAGTCTCTCTGTGTGACCTCCATCATCTCAACCAGTCATTTAAAAGTCAAAGAAGCTCAAAGATCTGCCAGGGTCAACTCAACATTTTACTCCAAGTCACAATAATTACCCACAACTTCTTTAGTGAGAAAAGAACCAAAGATGACAATACAAATGACATTTGCATAGTGCTTTTCATTCCCAAAGCTATTTTATATGCAGCTTCATTTAATCATAAATCTACTCTGTAAGGGAAATATTCTATAAAATATGGAAACTAGGCTATCCCTGATGGTGCAGCGAGTTGAAGCACAGAACTAAGAAGCTAAAGCCACTTCAGCATAGTTCTACCCCCGCCCAGGAGGTGACCACATGGTGCGGCAGACCTCTCCTGACCCTCCCTCTGCTCCCCTCAGCAGTGTATTTGTCTGTCGACCTGTTCTGCTCCCCACTCTGTCTCTAGTGAATCCTCTCATCACCCCTGCAACTCTGGACTGTATCCCAGTTCTGTATGCATAAATAAATAAACCTTTAAAAAACATAAGGAAACTAGTGGCGTAACAGGTTAAAGCACAGCAGTGAAGCTCGCCGCAGCCACCTCAGCACAAGTTGAATCCCTGGCCAGGAAGGTGACCTGTATGCTGTGGCAGAACTGTCCTGTCTTGCCCTCAGAAGTGTACCTCTTCTATCTGCCTGTTCTGTTCCCCATTCTGCCTCTAGTGAATCCTCTCACTGCCCCTGTACCTATGGCCTGTACCCCAGTTCTGTATACATAAATAAATAAATCTTTTAAAAAATGGAAACTAAGACTTAACAATATGTAGTGATTTCTCAAAGGTGACACAAAGACAAAATAGCAGCCTAGCACTTAAACTCAGGTTAATTTAAAATCCTGTACCTGCCACTATACTTTTATTCTATAGGATAAGACCTAGAACAAGTGCCATTCTAAAACTCTGAGACAACTGAAAAACAGCAGCAAAAGAATAAATGGCCAACACCATGCTATAATTCTAATTATGGTCTAAGAAAAACTACTCTAGCAGAAGGTTGTTTGAATGAAGATAGCCAAAATATCCAAACCAATGTTAAAAGGACATGGTACAAAAAAAAAAAAGTTATGGCACGTAGGTTTAACCATAGACTAAGATAACATTGTAAACCAAACCTTCTATGTATGATCAGATTGATAATCATTTTTCTTGAACAATGATCCAGAAGGTACCAACTGGTAAACTGGGTGCAGTACAAGATAATCCAAGAAACAAGTCATAATGCAAGTCAGAAAGAACTGCATATATCACAGTTCCAAGAAAATGGTCCAGAACAGTATACTAAAGTTCTAAGCAGCATCTTGGACCTGCGAGGCAACTAGCCAAGGATGCAAGGTAGGCTAACTCCAAGAAAAACATAACAAGCAGAAATGATACAGATCCAAAGTACAACAGCTACCTAGAATATGCCCCTCAAATTTAATACCAGTATAGACTGGCTTCATTCCAAACCAACCTATTCCCTATTCCACATTACTGCTATTCTTTCTTCCCCTGGACAGAATTGGCTCAGGGACTAACAGCAAATGTAAAACTACGTGAAAGTCTTGGAGAACAATTGACTGAGGCCACCCTAGTGTATGAGGGATTAAGTCTCAGTGCTATAAAGCTATTGACAGTCACCGTGGCATGAGATCTATTCTTGGCCAGGAACTGACCCACATGGCACAGCAGACCTATCTTACCTGCTGTTCCACTCAGCAGTGTATTTCAGTGCATCCACATATTCTGCTCCCCATGCTTTCTCAGATTAATCCTTTCACACCCTGCACCTCTAGCCTACACCCCAGTTCTTACATGCATAAATAAGTAAAAATAAATCTTTAAAAAAGGCAAAAGCTGACTAATGTCATTAACCAAAAAGGCATTTAAAGAGCCCAGAAAGAGGGAGCGCCTCCAGGGATGCCAGGAAGTAACACAAGCTATCAACTGATATATTCCAGATAGAGATGGAAGTGCTCTGAAAAATCAGACTTTCCACACTAACTTATGTTATGACCTCCCTTTTTGTATAATCATAATATCAAAATTTTCTGAGCAACTTTCAGCTTACAATTGGATTGCCTCAGCCTCATAAGGTACTACCTGGCCCTGACAAGGAAGTACTACACTAGGGTGAGAAATTCCTCTTGAAGTCAAAAGTGATTTGACAACTGGTTGATTAATAAAAACAAATGGCTGTTACTACAAAGTCTCTCTCACTGCCAGATGGAGGAAAACCCAAACCTCATCACTCTACTATCTCACATAGCCTTCTATTCAGTTTCTAAATAACCACTCAAGCTTTCTACTATCTAGTCTTTAGATATGGAAATTCACCCAAGTGGCCTATTCAGAGCTAATCAGGTTTTCTAATGTCTAGATTTCAAGGAAACTCACTTAAACTTTCTAACAAGTTTTTCAAAGAACCTTACTGTAATTCGATTTACAAGAAAATTTTTTCTTCCTGCCCTCACTTTACTTTACCCCCTAGGATGTCTCTATGAGAATGAAAGCCGT